TTTTTTAAATTCTGGGATTTATTTACCTTCTATAATTGAAACTTTGTAGCCTTGAGTGGAGCTCAGAGCTGGCCAGGGCGGGCAGGAAGCTTGGCTTCCTCTATCGCCAGGGGCAACCCAAGCCTCCTGCTCGCTCCAGCTCCATGGCCACAGCTGGCTGAAAGCAGATATCCGGGGTTTATTTATCTTCTATAATTGAAACTTTGTTGCCTTGAGTGGAGCTCAGAGCCGGCCGCGGCAGGCGGGAAGCTTGGCTTCCTCCATCACTGGGGCAACCAAGCCTCCTGCTTGCTCCAGCTCCGTGGCTGCCAGCTGCCATCTTGGTTGGGTTAATTTGCATATAGCCGCTCTGATCGGCTGGTGGGCGTGGCTTAAGGCATAGCAAAGGTATGGTCAATTTGCATGTTTGTCTTTTATTAGTGTAGATAGAACTTGCTTAGACCTGCTTTCTGATTTAGCTAAACTTTCTCCAGCCCAGTGAAGCACCCCAACTTCTCTTTTAGGTAATTGTCAGCAACACAGCAGTAAATATCAACATGAAACAGATTATTATTGTAGATCAAACAGGAAGAACAAAGGGTAAAATATTTAACTGCAGCAGTGTCTGACTATATTCTGTGCAGCGAGAAAAACTGAAGTCATTTTCAAGGTCCACCATTTCTTCTTTTCAGTTGAGTCATTTCTAAACTTTCTAAATCTCCGTTTTCCGAATAATGAAAAGAAAATAGGATTCCCTCAAGTCTCCTATCTACCTACTCCAGGACTTCTGTGAAGATCAAATGAGATAAGGCATGGGAAAACACTTCACAGACATTTGGTTAAACTGTAAAATGTTTGCACCTGGCTATAAAGGAAGTCGTGTTCCTGGGCTTTAGAAACTCCAAGGCTAGTCACTAGGGAGAGGAAGCTGGGTGTTGCTACCTGATGTCTTTACCCGGCGCCCACAACGACTGTTTCTGGACTGGGCTGTGGGCCGCATTTTGTGCCATGGGGTCTTGGTAGTGATGGCTGCGATTTGGTGGGCTGTTGCTCCATGGTGGTGTGGTGGGGCCTGTGTCCCATTTGGGGGAAGCCGAGTGTTGGTTTGTTGGTGGCGCCAGGTCCCTGGTGCCATTTATTTTTAAGTGACCAGTGCACAAAATGGCAGCTCCTGCATTGAGCATCTGCACCTGGTGGTCAGTGCACATCACAGCTACTGGTTGGACGGATGGACACTTAGCCTTTTATATATATAGATACTATATATATGATATATAGAGATACTATATCTATCTGTCTATCTATCTATCTATCTATATGTATCTATATCTATATGAAGAAATAAAATATGTGCTCTTATCCATTAGGTATTTTGAAACATCTGAAAATAGTGATCAAAAACTTCACATGGCCTGGCTGATGTGGCTCAGTGGTTGAACTAGGTCACGGTTCAATTCCCAGTCAGGCACATGCCAAAGTTGTAGGCTAGATCCCTGGAGGGGGCGTGTGGGAGGTGGCCAATCAGTGATTCTCTCACTACCTAAAAATCACACCCACCACCTGCCATTTGCGTTTTACTTTCCAAGCCTACCTCTCCAATCTAAGGCTAAGAAGGAGTGGCCATTCTAGTCATTTTCTCTCATTAGCTCCATTTTGGTTTTCTTCCTTCTAAGCTTTAGATATGCTCTTTTCCTAGGTTCCCTCATTATTCAAATCCTTATTCTTTTTTAAGGTCCACTCTCAAGTGATCCTGCCAATAACCAAGCCCCAGACAGCCTTTCCCTCTAGGAGCACACAGCAGCCCGAACCAAGAGCTGCCTGCCAGCAACTGGCCCATCACCACATGTGCTCACGTCTTCCCCACCCGCATGCCCTCAACTCTACATGTCGGGGGACCTTGGACAGTGAGGCCTGAGTGTCCTGAGGGTGGGGGAGGAGGGGGCTCCTCACCCAGCCAGCACCGCCCCGGTGCAGTGAGACTGCACGTGAGAGCCGTTCGTATTGGTGGGAAGTGAGGATACTAAATGCTGCTAAGAAACAAACAAAGTGAAGCAAGACCCACAGCCCCAGCCCCCATGACTCTGCGAATGGGCAGCAACACCTTCCTTTATTCCTCCCCATGGCACAGGGACATTCAAGGTCAGCAGCACTCTCCTGCCCCAGCCTGCACGCAGACACGACGCAGGCCCCCCTCTCCCCAGCAGAGCTGCCACAGCCCTTCACATGGTCACCAGGTCAGCATGGAATCCACGGAAAAAGCAGCACTGCCAGAGCCCAGGGCCACAGCCCCTCAGGTGGACGAGAGGCAGTTGAGGAACGAGGAGACTCGGGACCACTGGCCACAGAAGTCTGGCTGGACGAACCCACGGTAACCAAGGTCACGTCACCTCTGCTGGTGCAGAGGGTCAGGCACAAGGCCACCTCATTTATATGAAGAAAAGCAAGCGGATGAGTCTTTCCAGAAAGGCAGCCAAGTGGCATCCTGGCCTGTGGAGCCCACCGGGGAGGGAAGGAAGGTCACTCTCGGGGGCGGTTGACCATGACTTCCCCCAGGGCCTCCAGCACCTCCCGCTTGTAGTCCTCAAAGTCGCCGTCGATCTGGCTGACACTCTGCTCCTCCACCACCCACAGCTGGCAGCTGGTTTCCGTGATGAGCCGGGCGTCGTGGCTGACGACGATCACAGCTGTGAAGGAAGGAGCAGCAATCAGTGCGTGAAAGAAGAGAGCCCGAGCGGAGGCCACCGCAGCTGGCCCCAGGGAAGAAGGGGAGCGCTCCAAGGGGACTCACCGCCCTTGTACTCGTTGATGGCCTCCCCCAGAGCGTCGATGGACTCGATGTCCAAGTTGTTGGTGGGCTCATCCTGTGGAGGAGGCATTCCTGGACTGAGCGGCAGAACTCCCGCCTGCAATGTGCCCGCCCCTGCAGTCCGGCTCACTCACCAAGATCAGGACATCGGGCTCCCGACAGGCCAGCTCCGCAAACACGACTCGGGCTTTCTGCCCCCCTACGGCAGACAGAAAGGAGACCATCACACCTCGGCCACCTCCCCTTCCTGCAGGTCACTCGGGTGTGTGTTGAAGCCCCCTAGCCTCGGGTCTCCTTCCCTCTGGTCTAGCTACAGCCTGGGCTGGGGTGCTGAGGCCTCCCCAGCCCCATGGCAGTACCGGAGAGTTTGCAGATCTGGATGGTGTGGGCATGGCTCTCGAGGCCGAAGCGGCCCAGGCACTTGCGGGCATCTTGGTAGGGCAGGTTGAAGGCCTGCTGCAGGTACTCAGTGGGCGTCTCCTCCATGTGCAGCTGCTCTGCATACTGCTGGTTGAAGAAGCCAATTTTCTGCCCCAAAGGAGAGGGAAGGGGTCAGGGAAGGTCCTGCTTCCTATATCGGACTCTCATTCCCTAATTCCCCAAGACGACTTACCAGCCGGTGGTTCTTTCTCATTTCCCCCCGAGTCTGCAAGCAAAGAGCAAGGGGTGAGACAGGAAGGAAAAAGGTGCTACAGGCCCACAGCCTGACTTTCTGAAGGGGAGACAAATATGAGCCTGGGACGGGGAACAGGCCGGTGCGAGCGGGAACACGGCCGTCCTCCCCAGGGTGACGAAGGCACACCAGACTCAGGCCAGGGGAATCGGCCACAGCTCAGGAGTGCCTCTTCCCTCCCAGTGGGTGCGCACACAGCCCCTTCTCAGGGCCCCAGGTCAGATAGGGGTTAAGGACAGGTCGGGAAGATCTGAGGGGAAAGGGCCCTTGCAACACTTTCCTGGAGGGAGGACAGATGCCACCACCCATCTGAAGTTCTATAGGGCAGTGCACTGCTGAAGTCCCAAGGGCAATACATTTAGGAAAACTAAATTCACAGAGACGCACGAAGAGGACGCTTGCTATAGTACTGTCCTCAGTGAAAGCTGGTCAAATCAATTCTGGGGCTGGGGATGCTGAGGAGGGCCTTCCCTCTGGTCTAGGTACAGTCTGGGGGCAGGATCTACGTAATTACTAGTAAAGAAAAATTCTTCATGTGTATTATCTGGAAACACCACTACAAGCCCACCTGTATGGCTCAGCTTGTTGGAGCACCATCCCATACACAAGGAGGTCACCAGTTTGATTCCCGGTCAGAGCACATGCTGGGTTGAGGACTTGATTGTGAGTGGGGGACATGCAGGAGGCAGCCCATAGATGTTGTGCTCTCACATTGATGTTTCTCTTTTCTCTCTCTCTCCCTCTCTCTAAAAATCAATAAACTATTCTTTTTTCTTTTTTAAAAAATATATTTTTATTGATTTCAGAGAAGTTGAGAGGGAGAGAGAGAGAGAAACATCAATGATGAGCCCTAGCTGGTTTGGCTCAGTGGATAGAGTATCAGTCTATGGACTGAAGGGTCCCAGGTTTGATTCTGGTCAAGGGCATATACCCAGGTTGCAGGCTTGATCCCTAGTAGGGGGTGTGCAGGAGGCAGCCAATCAGTGATTCTCTGTCATCATTGATGTTTCTATCTCTCCCTCCCTCTTCCTTTCTCTCTGAAATCAATACAAATATATTAAAAACTAGAGGCCAGGTGCACAAATTCGTGCATGGGTGGGGGGTCCCTTGGCCTGGGCGATCGAGGCCTATTGGGGGGCCAGCCGGCCAGGGAGAGGGACTGCGGGAGGTTGGCCTGTCACCGCCCCCTCCCCCAACTGGGGCCCGGGGGAAGGGGTCGAGGAAGGTTGGCCCGCTGGGGGGAGGGGCCATGGGAGTTTGGCCATGGGAGCGCACTGACCATCAGGGGGCAGCTCCTGCATTGAGAGTCTGCCCTCTGGTGGTCAGTGCACATCACAGCGACTGGTTATATGATCACTTAGGCTTTTATATATAGATAAAATAGATTATAAATATTAAAAAAAAAACACTAAGAAACATCAATGATGAAAGAGAATTACTGATCGGCTGCTTCCTGCACACCCCCTACTAGGGATCGAGCCTGCAACTTGGGCACGTGCCCTTGCCCGGAATCAAACCTGGGACCCCTCAGTCCGCAGGCCAATGCTCTATCCACTAAGCCAAACCAGCTAGGGCAATAAGCTATTCTTTAAAATATAAATAAATAACCTGGCTACAGAACAATTCATGTGATAGTCCATTTTCGTTAAAAAAAACAAACAACAACAACAAAAAAAACAACAAAAAGGGTATGCACATTTGCAAAGGTAAAAAGGAGAAAGCTATCTATCAAAGTTAACATTGATTATCTCTAGATTTCTCTTTGGCTCATGCCATTTGAATCATTCTGTAAGTAACGTATTTCCTGTTTAATCAAAGCACACGGGCTCCCAGCTCCAGCTCCCATCCTCCTGGCTCTCCTCCCTGAACGGATCTAAACCGCTCCCTGAAGCCCCGCAGGGACAGGAGCCCTCTGCAAGTTCTGTATTTCCCTCTGCCCTACAGGCTCCCAGCTCCAGCCTCGGGAACTGCTGCCCCACTCAGCGCTCCCACCGTCCTCCAAGGCGCTGCAGGACCCACCGGCGTCAGCTTGCCCGTCAGCAGCAGGAGCAGGGTGCTCTTCCCCACACCGTTAGGACCCACGATGCAGACTGCCGGAAGCAAGGTAGGTGGTCAAAGAGGCCTCACACCCTCTCCCTGTGGCCCCTGCTCTGCCTCCTCTGGCCACCCAACACCAACTCACTTCTTGAGTCCATGTCGATGCCAAAATCCAGGTTCTTAAAGAGTGGTTTCTGCCCCTCATAGCCAAACGTCACACCTGAGAGCCAGGAAAGGAAGCAGCTTCTTTTCTTTCCCGTTACCCTTCAGGGCCCTGTGTCCCGGCCCTGGAGGACGGGTGCCCGTGCTTCCACCCACGCTACTGGGCTCAGAGGCTCACCGTGCAGGCCCAGCACAGGAGGGCTGAGCGGCGGGGGGTTGGGGAAGGTGAAGCGCACAGTGTACTCCTTGGGGCGCTTCAGGAGCTCGGGGGCCTCCTGCGATTCCTCGTCCTGGTTTTTTCGTCGGCATTTCTGCTGCTTCCGAGTCAGGGCTTCCTTTGTTTGCTTTTCCTGCAGAGAAAGGGGAAAGGGAGAAACCCTCACCTGCACAGTGGCCCCTGAAATGCAGGTTGGTGTCCGAGTGTCTCTTTGTCCACTCTCCTGAGGAGAGCCCCCATCGCAGGAGACCCCGCGTGCTCACCGCCTGCTTGGTGGACTTGCCGCCCGCCTTCAGCTCCTTCAGCTTCTTCTCCTGCTTCTCATACTGCTTCAGCAGCTCCTTCTGCTTTTGCTGGTACATCTTCTTGAAGGTCACTGGGCAGAGCGGATGGACATCAGTGGGTGCCCCTCTCCCAGCAACCGAGGGGGTGATCAGGACTGAGGGCGATGGGACTGACGGGCGTCCATGCCCAGATTCTGAGGCCCAGCTCCTCACCATGGTGAGCCCACTTACTGTAATTGCCCCTGTAGTAGTGGAGCCGCTGGGCGTCAAGGTGGATGATGTCAGTGCAGACGTCATCCAGGAAGCCCTGGTCATGGGAGACGATGAGCAACGTCTTCCGCCAGCCCTGCAGGTAGCTGGGTTTTAGAGCAGAGTGTGGAAAGGTCACAATGGTCACGTTAGGGTTCAGGTGGGCAGCAGACAGGTGGGGGCTAGGGAGGGAGGGCCGGCTGGACCAAGCACCAAGGGCAGATGGGGAGAGCTAGAGAAGGAGGCAGCATGGCACTGCCGGTGCCGAGGCCGAAGGCCAGGGCGATGGACGCACTTGTTGAGCCAGATGACAGCATTGAGGTCCAGGTGGTTGGTGGGCTCGTCCAGCAGCAGCAGCGTGGGCTCCATGAACAGCGCCCTGGAGGGGGGCAGCCAAGGGCAGGGTCAGAGCGGGAGACCTTGCTCAGAGGACCCCAGAGCAGCCCCAGTAGGTGGAGCCCGAGACCATGAACTTCCTTCCCAATCTCTCCTCAGAGGAGCTCCTGTGCAGAAGACATCAATAATGTCCCCCAGGGAGAGACATGAGGAGCCTGGGGCCCAACACCACCAAGGAGGGGAGAGCAGTCAGCCTTGAACCTCCCTGCTGGCCTTGGCAGGATGGGAAGAAGGGAAAGGGCCTGGTGTTTGAGGCTGAAGGGAGGGCAGTAGGTGGGCAGCCCCCACCTGGCCAGGGAGACACGCATGCGCCAGCCTCCCGAGAACTTCTGTGTGGGCCGATTCTGCATTTCAGGATCGAACCCCAGACCAGCCAGGATCCGCCGGGCTTTGGCCTCTGCCGCTGCCGCGCCAGTAGCCCTCAGTTCCTCATACACCTGGGAGAGGGAGAAGAGGTCACAGGCCGAGGTCACAGGAACCCTGAGGGCTCAGCCTGTGAGCCTGCCGAGTCCTCTACCTTCTCCAGCCGCTCAGCTGCTGTGTCGTCGCCCTGCTCCAGCTGCGCCTGAAGCTGTCGCTCCTCCTCCAGCAGCTTTAATCGCTTGGTGTCGGCTCGAAGAACAGCCTGCACTGCGGGTGTTTCATCCGCTACCACCTCTGGGGGTGGGGAGGACAGTCAGGCCACCCCGGGGTCAGGGTCCTAGGCCCCTGCCCTTCAGCACTATTTCTGGTTTGCCTGCCCCTGCCCAGCTCTATGTGCCTGTTCCGAATGAAACACCCTGCGTCCCACACTTCTCCCCCCGCTGTAGCATCACTTCCCAGGCTCCCCACATGACTTTTCCAAGCCCCTTTCATAACGGCTCCTCTCCCAGCGCCCCGGAGCCCCACAGCCTCACCCTGCTCACAGAGCAGCACATCGATGTTGGGGGGGATGCTCAAGGCTCGGTTGGCAATGTGCTTGAGGAGAGTGGTCTTGCCCTTGCTGGGGATGAGAAATCAGGACCAGGCTGCACTGAGAAATCCTTCTCTTCCTTCCAGCCTCGCCCCCTCTACCCCCCAGCCCCTCCTCTCCTCACCCGTTGGGCCCCACCAGCCCATAGCGGCGGCCGGCCACTATGTACAGGTCTGCATTGACGAACAGCTCCTTGCCGTGGGCAGAGATGCTGAACTTCTCTAGCTGCGGCCACCAGGGAAGCGGTGCAGAGGGAAGGAATGGGCACAATGAGGCTCTCCCCCCAGCTGGTGACTACAGCCTCTCCCTGCAGGGGGACCCCTGGCAAGTCGAGGCCTCCAGCACAGCCCCTCCTACCTTGCAGGGCCTCTCCCTGTCCACTGCCTCTAACAGCTCGTGCACACCCTATGCGTCCAGCCTGTCCCACAACTTCCCTCCAAGGGTGGGCCCTCTACTTCTACTGATTTTTCTATCTTCTCGCTCAAGATGCAGAACTCCAGGTGTGGAAACCGCCTCCAAGCATTCCCACTGTGGACGAGCCGCGCAAACCCACGCACACACCCACGTCCCTGGCTGCTGGGCCAGGCCGCAGAGAACAGGCACTTCCCTGCGCTCGGGGAAAGACACCCTCACCTTGATGTCAGACGCATTCTCTAGCATGGCCTGGCGAGAGGACACCTCTGCTTGCGACACGGAGAAGTCATTCTCAGCAGCATTGGCGGCCTTTAACGACGCCACCTGGCGCTCATACTCCATCTGAGGAGGAGGGGCAACCACTGTCGCCAGCTCAGCTCCGCCACCACGATCCCACCCACGTCCCCAGACACCCCCAGAGCCACCACTCTCCTCACTCTGCTGGTTCTACCTGAGGCAGCACTCAAAGCTCTCCTTCCTGTCCCCACGTTCACAGGTCCTCTAGCTGAAGCTTAAAAATATCAAATGTTCCTACCTTTTTCCACTAGGAATCCAAGGACTTACCTGTTTCTTCAGCTTTTTCTTCTCTTTTTTGCTAAGGTGGGCATAGGGATCATTGGCCTTAGACTCCCCTTCTTCCTCCTCTCCTTCCTCCTCGGAATCCTGTGAGAACCAGGAAGTGGTAAAAAACCAGGGCCCCTTCTAGAGCTCACCTACGCCGTCTCCGTCAGTTCTTCCCCTCTGCGGATACTGTGGTGGCCCTCTCGCACCCACCCGGTCTCCTTCGTCCATTTCTGCCACCACGAATGGGACCCGGCACCAGCGGAGGACCCAGGAAACTGCCTGTGCTCCTGCGCCCAGAACTGCCAACACCACGTGACTGGGGTCCCTCTCCTCACGCACCAGGTGTTACTGGAACGCACACAGTGACATGCAGAGAAGGGGTCCGGAAGCCCTAGCCACAGGTGCTAAGGGTGCAGCAAGCCAGGACGGGAGGCACGGGGCACACAGGGACTGCGGGGACCATGGACTCCTGCGTCCCATGCGGATGAGGTAACTGAGAACCGAGGAGGGAAGATGTACTCAAGGCCACACACACAGACCGTCTGAATCCAGTGCCAGGTCTCTTCCTCTCTGGATCAGGGGCTGCAATCTGTGGCCCATGGGCCCAATCAGACCTGAGGCCTGTTTTTATATGGCCCTGAGGTAAGCATGGTTTAGCCCAGCCGGTGTGGCTCAGTGGTTGAGTGTTGACCTATGAACCAGGTCACCAGTTCAATTCCTGGTCAGGCACATGCCCGGCTTGAGGGCTCAGTCCCGGTGGGAACTGTGCAGGGGCAGGGTGGGAGCTGATCAATGTCTCTCTCTCTTCCTATCACTCTGAAAATCAATAAAAATGTATTTTAAAAAAAGAATGGCTTTTACATATTCAAAAATACTTTTACATATCTGTTTTTTAAAAAAAGGAGGAACCCGAGACTAGTCCCATCCTGACAGCTGCTGTCCTGGCGTGCTAGAGTTCTCGGGAAGAACCTGCGGGTCTCGGTTCACTGGCGAGGGCAGTAAGTGCCCAGATCAGAAACACAGGCTTCCCAGCTCCTAGATAGAATGGGCTGTCTGTCATCTTTCCTCATACTCATTAGGGAGCTGGTACCTGCCATAGTGTGTTATAACCCTTTTCTCTCTTCTAAAATAAGAAAAAAAGAAAAAGAAATAAAAAAAAGAGGAAGAAGAATATACATCAGAGATTGTATGTGGCCTGCAAAGCCAGAAATATTGCTATGTGCCAACTCCTTTACAGAAGTCTGCCCACTCCCGCAGGGTGTAGTGCCAGCACCCAGACCCCGGCCGCCTCCACAAGAGAACACACACCTGCTCTGCCTTCTTGGCCTTCTCCTTCCCTTGCTTAGATGGCTCTTTTTCTTTTGTTAGTGTTTCTTCTCCATCCTCTTCACCTTCATTGTCCAGAACGGAAAATTTATTCTGAGGCTAGCAGAGAAGAGACAGGCTGATGAAATGCTCCAAGTCTTGAGACCAGCACCTTCTCCTGCTGACTTCCTCCCTCACCTTGGCTTTCCCTGTTGACTTCTCTTCCTTTCCCCTGGTGCCCTTGAGTCCTGGTTGTTCCTCAGATACAGCCTGGAGAGGACATGGAGATGAGACAGACAGACAGACACACACACACACGCTGATTTGCTACCTTGTTGCTTAACAAGCATTTCTCGGGATCTAGGATGAGGAGTTCACTGCGCTGAGTGGGACTAGGGAGAAAGTGAGACCCAGAACAGCCCCCGCCTCCAATGGGAGATTAGAGAGTAAAGAGAAAACGAGAGCATTGGCCTGTGAGCCAGGAGCGAGCCACAGGGGCGGTGGCAGCCGCGCTGGAGGGCTTCCTCAAGGGCACACGCGAGAGGTGATGGAGGGGCTGGAGGAGAGTCCGGGGAAGACGGAGTACACGGCACAGAGCAAAGGCTACACAGTCGGCTGGAAGCCAAGTGCGGTCAGGCCCTTCTGAAAGGTACGCACACGGAAGACTCCCAAATGGAAGAGCAAAGACTTGAAGGCCTTTGTTTCAGGTCTTGACTTTGAAAGCAACAGAATCACTGTAGACTTCCAAGTTATAAAAAGAGTATTTTAAAAAGCTGAATTTGATAGTTTAAGCAAGACAGACTAGAAGAGCTAGCCCAGGAGCAGGAAATCAAGCCAGCGAATTGGCCCACCACGGCCAGAAGGTGCTGCGTGGGGTGGGCGCACCCGGCAGGGCCATCACTTTCACCTTATTGATCCGATTTTTCTCCGGCTTGGCAGGCTTAGGAGGGTGTTTTTCTTCCTCCTCCTCTTCCTCACTCTGATCCTGAATCAGGGCTGCAAAAGCATTGCCTCCCTGGGAATGAAAGGGCAGAGAAGTCAGTGGATGACCAAGACTGCGCACCCGAGGCGTTGACCATGCGATGGCTCACCTTGGTTTCCTTCCCTCCTCGGGATTTCAGGGCAGGTACTGAAATGACAAACAAGATCAGGCAGGAAAGAGAATGATGACTCTGGCTCTTCACTCTAAAACAACTCATAGATGAAGAGATGAGGCACACCCTCACCCTGGCTCAGGGCTGCGGGCCCCACTCCCATCATTACCCTCTCCCTCCTCGTCACTGGCGGGCACCGAGAGCTTCTGCAGACGCTCCAGCAGTTCCTTCTCCTCGCCATCATCGTCCACATCCTTCTTCCTCCGGCCTTTTCGGGTGTCTCGTTTTTTTTTTTGCTGCTGAAAGCAGAGAGTGAGAAGAGTCTGAGGCGCAGGTCCCTATCGTCCCTCTGCCTCAGAGTCCCATCACCGGCTGCACCCACGTGGCGAGGCCTGGTGGGCCCCAACACTTGTACCTGCTGCTGCTGCTGCTGCTGCTGCTCCTTCTCCTTGCGCACTTTCTCTTCTTCCCCAGCCTGTTTATCTTCTACTGCCAGCTCTTCAAAGAACTAGCAAGAGTTCAGGTACAGGTCAGCATGGCTCAGATGACCCAGCCCTCCCTCCCACCCACGCCTGCTTCCTCTCTCGACAAGCTTTCTCCCCAGACCTCCCAATACCTTCACATGGAAACACTTGATCAAGTTCATCCTCAACCCCATCTCCTCACCGTCTTTTTGTTCTTCTTGTCCTTCTTCCCTTTCTTCACCACTCTGTCTAGGAGGTGAAGCAGACATAGTGAATGCTCCCCTGCAAAGCCCTCAGATGGCCTTGACCCCATTTCACTGTGTTTCTAGCTCACTTATCATTCTCTACACATGTGCACTGTCCCACGCCACAGACACAGGCGGCTGCTCTAGGGCGGCATCGGGAGGGAGAAAGCAGAATTCGGAGGGTGAAGGTAGAGATGGGAAGGGAGACAGAGCAGTTCCAAATGACTCCTATATTTGTAGCTAGCAAAACTGGGCTCCTAGTGCCACTCATTAACTTGAGGTTTAATGAAAGAGAAGGTCCCCTCTTCCCACCCCTGCCACCCAAGGCAGAACAAAGAGCCATGAATTCAACTGGGATATGGTGTCTGTGAGACGTGCAGCCACACAGAGATGGTTCTCGAAGGAAATGAACTCCGAGCATTCTAGCCCAAATCACACTGTGTTACACTCAGCAGTCTTTCATCACAGCCACCTGCGGTGCTCCCAGGGCACAAAGGGGGAAGTCAATAAAAGTTTACTGACCGAACGGCTTCCAGTCTTCCCTTCTGTCCATCCCGGTTCCCCTGAAGGCAGTGAACTATGTCTACCCCCCGATTCCCTTCCACCATCAGACCAGAAGGCAACCAGCCAGCAGCTTCATGATTTCTCTTCATGTCTAGGTCTGTCCACCATCATATTCCCTCCAAACCATCCCCTCCTATCCAAAAGCACTCCTGTAATCACTTAGCTTTAAAAAAAAAAAAAAAAAAAAAAAAAAAAAAAAAAAAAAAAAAAAGGCCACCAAAACAAACAAAAAAAAAACGAATGGCTTTCTGCTATAACAGTAAGTACTGCTCAGACCAGAAGTCCATGTGACCCACAGCAATTATTTACCTAGGAAAATTTTAGTGTGCATCTACTACGCCTAAAACTGGTGATTGATGAGGACAATCCCTTCCGACTAAAAGGGCCCTATCCCACCTTCTCTGCTATAGCTGTTTCCCTATGTTCTGGACAGTGGCTTCTCCTGGCTCCTTGATTTAGCCCCAGGCATGGAAGTCCTCCATCCAGAACACATTTCACAATCTGGCCTCTGCACTGGGTGACTAGTGTGATGGAGTTGCAAAGATGCGCAGGAGAAATAATGAAAGGCTTTATATGCTACTAGAGGCCCGGTGCACAAATTTGTGCACCAGTGGGGCCCCTCGGCCTGGCCTGCGGGATCAGGCCAAAACCGGCTCTCCTACCAAAACAGGCTCTCTGACATCCCCTGAGGGGTCCTGGATTGCGAGAGGGCGCAGGCCAGGCTGAGGGACCCCACTGGTGCACGATCAGGGCTGGGGAGGAACACAGGAGGTTGCCAGCCGGGGAGGGACCGTGGGAGGGCTCCAGGGCTTGTCTGGCCCATCTCACTCAGTCCCGTTTGGCCAGACCCCAGCAGCAAGCTCACCTACTGGTCGGAGCATCTTTCCCCTGGTGGTCAGTGCACATCATAGCGAGCGGTTGAGCAGCCTTAGCATATCATTATCATATTACGCTTTGATTGGTTGAACAGACAACCGGACACTTAGCATATTAGGCTTTTATTATATAGGATTCCAAGGAGCCTAATCCTAAAGATATGATGAAGGAGGATCCATTGAGGTACACGAGAAGGAAAGACATGATCAGCTCACTTTGGCAGTATCTAGGAGTGACAAATCCCAGATGCTATTTTCTCCCCAAGGACTAACCCAACAGTCCCACCTCTCCTTTTAAATCTCTTGTAAACATCACTCTGACCCTCCTGGCTACAGGGAGAGGAAAAGCCTTGCACAGGTTCAATGGTGAGAAAGTATACATCACCAAGGACAGAATAAGGCTAAGTGTGGCTAAAGCTGTTATCTTCCCTCTCTCTGCCTAGAGGCTCCTCCCCTTTACACATCACTCAAATGCTCCTCTTCCAATCACTGTTTTCTATCCTGTCTTCTGAAAAGCACAGTCCATACCACTTCCTTGTCTCCCATTCCTTTTCAAACACTGCAATCTGCTTTGGATATCACCTCCGAATGAGACTTCTGACAAAGCTGCTACTGTCTCCTTAATTGCTCAACCCCAAAAGTACATTTTTAGTCCGGATTTGCTTGACTTCTTCTGCAACATTCCATGCTACCTACCTTTTACT